GATTGATTGATTGATTGACTGACTGATTGATTGGCTGATTGATACATTTTACTGGGTTTTTTAAGGAACTATTATATTTCCCTCACGAATTTTATTATTATTGAAAGTTTTCTTACCTGTAGATTTTGACTCGTCTTGAAGGTAAGTTTGCACAACAACACTTTCATTGCGATGTTTTCTTCTCAGTCGACACATAAAAACAGCTAGTATAACACCAATTATACAGCCCAAACCAGTATATATCATTTGATGTTTTATAGAGTTTGTCGTGGATAGTAATGCTGTTAGTTCTGTTATCGTGGAAGCTGGTACTGTTGTTGGCTCTGTTGTCGTGGATGCTAGTACTGTTGTTGGCTCTGTTGTCGTTGATGCTGGTACTGTTGTTGGCTCTGTTGTGGATGCTGGTACTGTTGTTGGCTCTGTTGTCGTGGATGCTGATACTGTCGTTGGCTCTGTTGTCGTGGGTGCTGATACTGTCGTTGGCCCTGCAGATTTTAATAACAATTGTTTAAGTTGTAAGTATTTAATTTATACATATTACTGTTTACAAAAATATTTAAAAACTTATTTATTAAAGTTTCTGTTCAATCTCATTAAATTTCTACAAGAATTTCTACGTATTTTTGGAAGCTAGTTCTCGAAGTTTCTGGATGTCACAGAAGTTCTGTAATTTTAGGCCACGTTTCTGAAGATCTTTGTGAAGTACTCAAAGATGATACAAGTAACGCTATAAAGATCTCGCCTTCTGATGACATTAGGCCACTTATATATATTTAATACTGTTATACAATAAGAAAAGAAAATAAGATCGTAAAAAGAACATTTCACTTGAATTGGTAGAGGTTGTATTGGCAGTGAATGCAGTGGCGGCGCTAGCACGGGATCACAGTAAATTTACTTATCAAAATAACGTTAATTTGTTTGCCAATCCCTGATATTGTAGTCTAAAAGAACAATTGTGGGCCAAGCTCATAAAATGTCTTCCCATGAACCCTACCAAGGATATTTATTGTGGGACCCTGACCGAGCCATCTTCGGGCGCCCCTGTCATATGTGTCGGACCCCCTGTCGGCAAAATTAATTATTTCCATCTGTTTTCAGTAGGGTAGCCTTCTCTGTTACAAGATACTGCCCTCACAGTAGAAACAAATACACATTAAAAGTGTAGGGTCTCTCACCATAAGAAAGAACCTACTGGATATAAGTCTTTAGATTTAAGTTTGTTATTTATGGTGTACCGAATAAAGAAGAAATGAAATTACAAGCCCAAAAAATTGCTTTAATTGTTTTACACATCTACACGGACCAAAAAAAAAGCTGACTTTACTACTTGCTAAATGCGATTTTGTATACATTTATTCAATCCGTATAACAATGTTCATGTAGTGTAAAATACTAACATAATATTGATATTGGTTTCAATTAAATTTTATCTAAATGTCGGGCTTAGAGATGTGTATAAGAGACAGGTATATATACACACATAAAATAAGAATAAGAAAAATTTGCCTGACCGTTTTCAAGAAGGGAAACCTCTAATTTTGAAAAAAATTAAAGGTCATTTAAAGACGTTTCAGAAGTCGGGAAACTCATTTCGCGCCATCTAGAAATCGAAATTTCTCTAGGGGGAACTCGGACGCGATTTTTTTTACAGGACCTTTGAGGCAGTGATGATTGGTGCCACTATGGATTTAACGTAACGCCTCCTTGATATCCTGAATATTTATATACGAGTTTCCTGCTGCCGTACGTTGGCACGTCCAGGGGTACGTGATATTCTCTTATACACATCTAGATGTGTATAAGAGACAGTATATATAGTATATATATATACTGTATATATATACTGTATATATACCGTATATATATACAGTATATTTTTGATTTGTCACGCTGATCATAAAAGTCTTCGTATAACAATATTGTTTTTCTAAAATTCAGTTTCATAAGCATACTTGGTACTGTCGTGGTTGTGAGCAAAGATTGTTCGCATTGAATCAATTGATTAAGCTAGCAATACATACTACGCTGTTAAATGACGAACTGTAATGGGAATGTGAGACCTTTCAATAAGTTTTAAACCTTTTTTTCAGCATAAAAGCAATACTGCAGGAACAAATACTATTATTATTATTATTTTATTATTATTACTGTTATTATTATTATTATTATTATTATTATTATTATTATTATTATTATTGTTATTATTATTATTATTATTATTCTCATTTAAAAATATTTAATTTATTATCTTCTAATACGTTTTGCATTAAATTACATGCGTTACAATATAACATGCTGAACGTTTGGGAGATTGAAATTTCCACTTCCTTTCTCACTGTTATCGTACTCGTAGACTCAAACCCAGGTTGCAAGATTCAAATAAATTTCAAGCTCTGTCCAAATATCAAGTTATCTTCTACAAAAAACATAGTAAATGAATAACCTTTAACATTTAGACATGGTGTGCCTATATATGGTCGTGATATGATATCATCATGACCATATTAGGCATGTCAAATGCAACTTGGTAGCCTGGACAACGCTTTAGGTTAATGCTAATACATTTTAGTTTCCGTCACCAACTTTCATAAAATATATTGCTATACCTGTAACCGTTACATATCTGGTTTTTGTAGAACTGGATTTTGTATTATCAGAAGAACTTCCCCTTATCTGGACATGAAATATAGAGATACTATTATGTTTGATAAAAGACATAATAGTAAATAATAATAATAATAATAATAATAATGATAATCAGGATAATGAAGATGATAACAGCAAACAATATTACATACTTGAAAGTAATTCCTATGAAATTTTATATTTCACAAATGTCAATATTAGCAACGGAAAATATCATGTTTGCCGTTTTTATGTGTGATACAGAACATAAATCGAGGTAAGGCTAGGCCTAGCCTAGCAATGTTGGATATCCTAATGTTTTCGGCGCCTACTATATTTCTTCGCAGACCCGTCGCAAAATCAAACATGAAAAAATCATCCGCATTTATTTTTCGTGTGGAACACAAAATATCAAATTTCAGTCTTATTTTACATTTTTTTCATGCTTAGGAATGTCTAAGTTCAGTTGAACTAGCAATTCCGTATTATATTTATAAATATTTATAACATTATACAAAAATTAGATTTTTCTTAACAACTGAAATTTTGCCGGGAATGGGGCTTTAATTAAATATGTATTTACTCACATTCAGCTGATAGGTTCCAATATCATTTGTTTTATTAATAAATTCCAGAGTAATAACATTTCTTAATGCACCATTAATGACCTTTTCTGTTGCACTTGAAATTTTCTGTTGGGAAGACATTTGTATCTTTTATTAACATTAGGTTACATATTAACGCATATGTTATAGGTTACATAACAGCAAATCCAGATGCTCCTCATAAAATAAAAGCACAATAACATTGACAACAATTACAAGTAACACTAATAATATAACATAACATAGCATGACAGGCCCGTAAGCAGGATTTTATTGGGAGGGTGCGAATTTGTGGAAAGTGGACCAAAATGTTGGGGGTGGGAGCGCTAAAAAAAAAATCCGCCACTGGTTTTGAGAGCAAACACTACTCGGTGTTCTTATTTTCAAATGTTCTCAGTCCAGCGTTCCTCAAACTTTTTACTTCACGGCCTATTTACGATTCCAGGCACCGAACCGCGACCCAGCAGCCCAGCCGCACCAGGGACCAACATACCAAATACTGGCAAGAACTTTTGATCATGAAACCTCCATGTATAGGCCTATACAATATTTTGACATCATTATCTGTTCTGTCAATGATAACATTTCATTTTTTTTCCTAGCATGATTCAACCAAACACGGTTCAGCCACACATAGCTTTCTCCTTCTTCCAAAAACTTTTACGTACACTCTGTTACTCCGCAACTTTGAAAGACTACCTTACTATACAGGTATTATATTTAGTAATAAAGTATCTACATGGGCATTCGAAAGTTATCTTTCTATGATAGGTCTTATACTTATATATATTTTATCTTTAGCTCATGACTCATCCCATCATTCCTCCATACCGGAGTTACTCGATCTTACAGGGTTAATACTAGACGATAACATAGTGTCTAGCTCCCGAGGGGGCATAGACACAACTTAAACCGCTTATAACTCAAATAGCACGCATCACCTGTCACTTTAGCAGCGTGTGCAAGCGATGCATCTGCTGTCACAAAGAAGCGGCTTTATTACAAACTATTTTCTCCACGATGAAACGTATCTTCGTTATTTTTTCCAATTTGCTCTAATTAGAATTATTGGTTTTTGGGTTTTTTTTTTATCATTATTATTATTTTTATTATTATTATTATTATTATTATTATTATTATTATTATTATCGTTATTATTATTATTATTATTATCGTTATTATTATTA